GCGCCCCCTCCCGGCCTCGGCTCCCCCCGCCGCCCCTCCGGAGGCTCGGCGGGCAGCGCGGCGCGCCCGGACCCCTCTTTGTCTGCGGCGAGTGGGGGGGGGGGGGGGGGCCCCCCCCCCCCCCCCAACCATGGCGTGTCCCCACCGGGTTGGAGACTCAGAGTCATCGTCCAGGTTGGAAAAAGACCCTTGGGATCATGGAGTCCAACCATCAACCCCGCTCGGCAAAGTTCTCCCTCCCCCGTGTCCCCCCCATGGAACCAACTCTTAAACTGATCCAGGGATGGGGACCCCACCCCCCGCCAGCCTCGGACCACTTTCTGTGAAGAATTCTTTCCTAAGCACAGGATCCTGTGGGGTGGGAAGGGACCCTCTGGAGATCATCTCCTCCAACCCCCCCCCGGCCAGAGCAGGTCCCACCCAGAGCAGGTTGGATTCATCCAGGGGGGGGTTTGAATGTCTCCAGAGAAGGAGACCCCACCACCTCCCTGGGCAGCCTCTGCCAGGGCTCTGCCACCCTCAAAATCAAGAAGTTCCTCCTCATCTTTAGGTGGAACTTCTTATGTTCAAGTTTGTGCCCATTTCCTCTTGTCCTGTCCCTGGGCACCACTGGAAAAAGACCAGCCCCGTCCTCCTGACACCCTCCCTTGAAGTATTTATAGGTGTTGGTCAGATCCCCCCTCAGCCTTCTCTTCTCCAGCCCCAAGTCCCTCAGCCTTTCTTCACCAGAGAGATGTTCTCCTCCCCTCAGCATCTCTGTAGCCTCTGCTGTCCCCTCTCCAGCAGTTCCCTGTCCTCCTTGAACTGGGGAGCCCAGAACTGGTCCCAGTGCTCCAGCTGGGGCCTCCCCAATGCAGAGCAGAGGGGCAGGATGACCTCCCTGGACCTGCTGGTCACCCTCTTCCTGATGCCCCCCAGGATGCCATTGGCCTTCTCGGCCACCAGGGCCCATCGTTGGCTCATGGGCATCTTGGTGTCCACCAGGACTCCCAGGTCTTTCACCAGCAGGTCACCCCCACCCTGTCCTGGTTTGGGGGGTGATTCCTCCCCAGGGGCAGCACCTACACCTGCCCTTGGTGGAACTTCATCAGGTTCCTCAGAAGGTGACACAGTTGGGTGACACGGTTGGGTGACACATCAAGTTGGTCAAGCAGGACCTCCCTTTCATGAACCCCTCTTGGTTGACCTCCCCGTGTCCCCTCTGTCCCTCTCCCAGGCCTGCCTGGAAGATCCAGACCTGGTGACACCACATCCCCCCGGCACCGTCACCATCATCTGCCGGGAGGAAGAGGAGGAGGAGGAGGAAGGAGCAGCGTTGGTCTACGCCGTGGGGACAGAGGGTGACCTCGGCCTGGAGCAGCCGTGACGTGGTGGCACCGGGACAAGATGGTGACCTCAGCCTGGAGCAGCCATGACGTGGTGGCACTGGGTGGTGGCACCAGGACAGACAGTGACCTTGGTGATGTGGTGGCACTGGGTGGTGGCACCAGGACAGATGGTGACCTTGGTGATGTGGTGGCACCAGGACAGACGGTGACCTCGGCCTGGAGCAGCCGTGCCGTGGTGGCACCGGGTGGTGGCATCACCAGGAACCTGCTGGGACACTGGAAGGGGGGGGGGGTTACCCCTCCTTGAGGACACTCTGGTGTCACCCAGATGCCACCCCAGGGGGAGGGGACACTTTATTTTTCTATTTTAAGGTTTATTT